GTCCATGGTGTGAACTCCAATTCACGCTTCAAAAATCACTGTTTCAGGAATGGAAACCACCTGGAGTAAACAGGAGTGTCCTTTCCCAGGCCTGGAACCTTGGCAACCTCTGATCATGAAGTCTTTCCTGACCAGGGCAGTCCCAGACTGCTACCAAGCGATATCCATAGTCTCCTTGGGCTCCCACAACCACGACTCCTGACAGTTTCCTAAATCACCACCATCTCTTGGTTTTAACTTGTGCAATGTTTTCTTTGGGGTCGCAGGAGGAGGAGGACAGATTGAACAAAACAAGCCTCAGCGGCTGCTTTGGCAGAATTTAGCCTTGACTGTGTTGTGCATCCTCTTGTCCTTGTTTGTGTGGTTAGTAAAGTCCTATTGTTTGAATTCCAATCACCATGGACCTTTTCCAGTCCCCAGGAGTCCTGAAAGATAAGCAGCCATGTCATGGGAAATATTTAGACTCAGTCTGGGGAACACAAGAAGTGAGAGGGCAGAATGAGCAGGAGGCAATGGCCACGGTGTCCTCAGCCTGCCAAAGAAATAAGGCTGTTGGACACTAGCTGGATGGTGTTTGGATTGTCTGCAGTGCACAAAAAAAGCATTACTTCCTCTTGCTTTTGAGCAAGGAAGGTGGTTAAAACATTTTGAGGGACACAATGGCAGCAATTCTTTATCTGGGCAATATGAGATTGGGGGACCCTGTGCTCCAAAGAAAATCCACAGGTAGTCCTTGAAGTGTGGAAGTAGCATCTGAGAATCACCATCTAGGCCAGTGTCCTAATTTTATGCATGAGAAATCTGAGGCCCTGGAGACCCAAGCTGGCACAGCTGTTAGGCGGCAGAGTAGGGCTGCGGCCAGGGATTGTTGAGTGTTCATCAAAAACGTCTGTGCAACAGAATTCCTTCACTGGATTCCAGGCACTGCCAACAGCCAGCCACGTGACAGCGGACAAGTCACTGAACTTGGGGCCTCAGGTTCCTTATCTGTCAGCTGAACGCTGAGGATCCCATGATCTTGGAACCGCTTTCCAGAAACAACATTCCAGGGTGCGCTGCTCCCTTTCTAACCTGCAGAACAGCAGAGAAGAGCCTCGCCTCCCAGGCCACAAGCACTGTGGCCTCCCAAACACTGGACAGGAGTCTTTTTGTTTGTGTCACAGTGGCAAAGATGGTTCAAGATGGAGGACTCTGGGGTTCCCAGACTTCCCTTTGGCCTGGGTGCAAACAGAGAGGGATAGCTCCTGTCTGCCTCTACTTCTCTCTCACTGCTGCTGGAGCATCCACACTCAAGAGCCAGTGCAAGGACGTGGTAGCATGCAGATCTTTGCCCTGAGAAGAGTATGTACCAGTCCAGCTCTGTAGTCTCTTCGCTGGGGACCTCTGCTTGTCATTGCCTCTCCTTGCCTCCCAGTTCTCTGCTTGTAGGAGGGTAGGAATGGCTCCTGCACCTGGGGCTGTCGTGAGGACTGAGCATTAGCGTGTGTAAGTCACTCAGAGCTGATACACAGGCAGGGCATAGGGTTGGCAGATGTTGTTATCATAATGATCTCGTATCTACCCAACACACAGAAGAGTGACCCTGGCCAGGGACCGAGGTGCTGGATTCTAGCTGTCTGACTCAGATCCATACAGCACCCAGCAACCTGGAGGCTCCAGGTTTTGAAATGGGACCATACTGAACCTCCTAGAAAAATATTCTCCCCAATTAAATGATGCCTGTGTTACCACAGCCAGGGTCAGATTTTCATTTGCCACAGACTCCATTTCAACTTCACTTCTCCAGATTCTACCGGGGGGTGGGGGTGCTTAAGTGTCATGTGGTATCACATCGCTCCATCACTTTCCAGGAACTCTCCATGGAAGAGGAAGATTAGCCGGCGTGGAGGCACACCCCTGTAATCCCAGCACTCAGAAGACTGAGGCAGGAGGATTGTTGTGAGTTCAAGGCCAGCCTGGGCTAGAAAGTGAGCTCAAGGCCAGCCTGAACTGCATAACGAGACCCTGTCTCAAAAAGACAAAAAAAAAAAAAAAAGACTACTTCTGGGCCCTCTCTGTACATCTGGATTTGACATTGAGGTTTAGTTGTTTCTTGCCCCCTTTCCCGGCCACTCCCAGCCCACTGCCCTTCTCTGCTGGCTTGTTGGCATGATTAACAGCACCTGCTCCCCATGCTCAGGCAACATAAATGAAGCTGGGTAGGCTGGGGCTTTTCTTCCTTTCCCTGCCTAGAAACCCCCAGCACAGAGCAAGAAGAATCTCTGCCCCCATCTCTGATTTCAATTAGGGATGGATGCTTCCTGCAAGACTCAGAGTTCTGTTTCTCAAGATCCAGACTAAATGTATTGGGTGGTCAGGCTTGGTGGTCTTCGCAGGGGTGTGCATGCCTGAGGACTGGAGAAGACTGTCCTCCCCGAATCTGTCAGCACCTGTGCATCCAGAGGGCAAATTAGGAAAGTGAAAACCCACATGGTACAGAGAGAAAGATGATGGGAATTAAGAGCCTGGCCATGCTGTCCAGATTCTCGAATGCCCTGTGACATACTTTCTGTGTTTGCCCAAATAGAAGTCAACTTCCAGTTAACACAACCCCTACTTCCCCGATGAAGTAAAATTAACCTTTTTCTCTTTTCTTTTCTTTCCCTTCCTTCCATCCTCCCTTCATTCTGCCCTTCCTTCCTTCTTTGTTCCTTTCTTTCTGTTTCTTTGTTTTTTTCTTTCCTTCTCTTTCCTTCCTTCCTTCCTTCCTTCCTTCCTTCCTTCCGTCCTTCCCTCCCTCCCTCCCTCCCTTCTTTGCCAACTTAATAGAAATCAGAACTGTGGCTGCCTTTGAGGTGAGGGGTGAGAACAGACCAAATGGGCCAGCGTGATGGGCATGTTTTGTACTCATTAGGGGGGTGGTTACTGGCTGATCTCATTTGTCAGAATTCATCATACTGCACCCTTAAGATCTGTGTACCACAGGGAATGTAAATTTTATTGCAATTTAAAAATGTTAGGGAAATGAGTTGTAAACTATCTATACATAATATTTAAATTAATAATGTAATTGCATACTTACAAACATAAGAACAATACATTTATTTATAATAATTTTTCTATTCACATTTCACAATTCAAACATGCATCTTCTGAGATCAGTATATATTATTACTAAGCCACTTTTTTCATCAACACTCTTCCAGAATATGTCCTTGTCAGTTTCTCTTTTTATTTGAAATGCAGAATATTTTGAATCCGTATTTGATGCTGAAATTTTATTGCAACCCACAAATATCCATTTGCATGACATGGCAGCAGTTGTTTTTCTCATTTGTTTTCTAAGTGACTATTCATGATCCTTACCACATAAGTAATGTATGTATTTCTAAAATGAGCTTCAAAATATTTATCATAATGTTTTATAATTTTAGCCAAAGAACAGTCACCAAATCTGCCTTAAACTTCATTGCTTCTTTTCCACTAGTCCTTCTTATAACCTCTAAAATTGTCCAAAACCAGTGTAAATTGAGACCATTTCAGGCTGATGTGTCTTCCCCAAGTGTTGTAATTCAAAGAAAGTAATTCAGAGTATCCCCAATTATGAGAACATTTAAAGGACAAGTCCCAAACTGTGAGATACTTTCAAAGATAATATTCCCTTTTCTAAGAGTCAATTTGAGAATGTAAAACTTCATCTTATTTATTTTCAGGTGTATGTAGTAAATCCTACAATTTATTCAGACCAAAAATAAAATAGAGATTAATTTAGCAAATTTCGGTGCTCTCATTTTATAGTTCATTATTAACAGATGAACATTCTTAAGTTAGCAGTGTCTTTACATAAAAACCTTAAACTCCCAACCACAAATGAGACATTCTTGAATAAATTCAGAAGCACTGTATTTTACTCCAGGACATTAAAGCTAGGAAAGATTAAGTGGATAACTGATTAGTAATGACAGAATTATGAATTCCTAATTGTTAATTGTTGGATCTGACCTTACAACTTGTCCAGTTTTCAGCTACAACCCATATGATAGGATGATATACAAAGACTTGTTTTGTTCAAATTTCCTCAATATAGATGTATTGTTTTTAAAGAAACCAACCTTGCTGACGGAAGCCAGATGAGCCACCTCACCAAGAGCTCACTGGGTGTATTATTTGTTACCTGGCTCAGTGCAGTGGCTGTCTGTTTTTTCATTTTTTTTTCTTGGTAATAGAACCCTAGTTTTAAATACCATCATATGTGGTAGATGCACTAGTTGGAACAGAAAAGGAACCACCAGAGATGAGGGCCACAGCAGTGCTTGATACCCTTTCTCTCATAAGAAGGGTGCCTCCAAGGGTAGCAGCTCCCAGTTGGCTCCAGGGAACACTCTGAAAGGTGCTGGTAGTGGACTATGCGTAAGGTCCACTTACAGACCTTCCGGTCTCAGAGGTTCTGAGCTCGAGAGGGCTCTTGAGTGTGTGTTTGTTGGCAGGTGTCTTCACCTGAGTTTTATTTTCCTCATCCAGACAGACAGACAGACAGCATCAGTGCCTCACTGAAAGAATTGCTCTGATGTCTGTAAATGTGCCTGGCAAACATAAAGTGCAGAGTTTGTTTTGTTCCTTAAGTCTTAAAATTTCCTCATCACCTCTCATTTGCATGTCGTGTGCCATCTCACCTGTTATGTAGGGACATCAGACGAGCATTTTGCCCGTTTTCATGCAAGAACTTCTACCTTAAAACTCAGCCAGAGCTAGGATGGTAGGATATCTATGGTCCCAGATAACCCTGCTGAGACAGGAGGATTGCTTAAACCCAAGAGTTTGAGGCTACCCCGGAAAACACAGCAGGACCTGTCTTTAAAAAAAAAAAAAAAGACTTGTCAGCCATTCATGTCTGCTAGAGAACAGACAGAAGGAAAAAGGAGAACTTGGGCTCTACTGCTACTGTCTAAAACAAGGAATTCCTGGATCAGGGATTTCTGTTCTTGGGACTGACCACTCTGACAGGCTTCTTTTCATTTCAGGTGGGCCAAGAGAAGGGAAACTGCTCTTTCCAGAAAAACCCAACCCCTTGCATCATCCCTCAAGAACAGGAAAATATCTTCCACACCATATTTGCTTTTTTCACAAAGTCGGGAAGAAAAGTCTTGGTAAGGATTTGCTTTGTGGCTGGGGTAACATGGGTGGTCCTTACTAGGAACGCAAGTCTGAAATTAAAGGCCAGTTTTCTACTTGGTATTCGTTACTTCCCAAATCTGGCTTTCATCAATTGACTTATAAAGACACAAGGACTGTGGTCAACTTCTATTTTTCAGCTTGAGGTTTCAATCAAAGTGTTAAATTTATATTCCACTTCCTTTGCCTGGCAAGGGAAAAGCGTTTGCAACCCATCAAGCACAAAGTGAAATACTTCCTCAAGTAGCATGAATCTAAACAAGCATGATGGTTCTTGTACAACCACTTTGGAAAGGGCTGCTACACCTACCAACACAAGTAAGCCTCACAGATGTGATACTGAGTGAAAGAAGGTAAAGGCAAAAGGACACATACTGGAATATTTCACATATATGGAGCTCACAAACAGCAAAAACTAATCAGTGGTCAAGACAGTGTATGCTTTTGGTAGAATATCAACAGGAAGGGTAAGCCTCAGAGTACCTGCTTAGGGGACAGAAATGTGTGTCGTGATCAGGTTGGTGGTTCTCCAAGTATAGACATACATAAAAACATATGTGCTTGCTGAGTACACTTAATGTTTGTTCTATTTATTGTATACATTATACTTCAGGGTTTTTTAAATGAAGATATTGAAGACAGAATCATAATGCTTATCCAAAGCCTCCATTTTTTGTGTCTTTGGTTACATTTCTCTAGCTTCATATTTCAGCCTGGGTACATTTCACTTACATTTACTGTGTCTTTCCTCACTTTCTTCCCTGCTAGTGAGGCACAACTATTTGCCACTTGAAATGTTTGAATTTTTTTCTTCTGTTGTGAGGATGGTATGTCTGTTTTTGAAAGCCCACAGAGTCATTAGGTGTAGTGGTATCTACCTGTTTGGTGATACAATTCTGTATCTGTCTGAAAATTTCACCAAGCAAAATATAATAAAGATATACAAATATAGAAGAGAAAAATTCCTCTTTTGCAATCTGGAATTTACACTTCTCTTTGGTAATTTGTGCTTTCTTGTGCAAGAGTCACATGACTTCTTAGTCTCTGATTTACATAAAAAATGACCACGAGGGGGGCTGGGGCTTTAGCTCAACGGCACAGCGCCTGCCTGGCAAGTGCGAGGTCATGAGTTCGATTCCCGGTACTGGAAATAAAAATAAAAATTTTAAAAAAATGACCACATGCAGGTCATGGTGGCACATGCCTATAATTTAAGGACTGTATCAGGCTGAAGTAGAGGATGGCAAGTTCAAGTCCCACTTGGGGAACTTAAACCCTGTCTCAAATAAAAAAAGGTCTAGGGGTATAGCTCCGTGCAGAGGACCTGGGTTCAATTCCCAGTACTGAAAAATTTTTTAAAACCATAAATATATATTTGCCATTGCACAGAAATTACATAATATAGAAAAATCTGTCTTACATTGAAAACTCATAGGAACACTATCAGAATATAGGGATGTGTTTCTATTTAGGGACTGTTGGAGTTTTTGTGAAATCCAGCTTTTTGGTAAATTAACCATGGAGAGCTGCTTTTTCCAGTTTGACACCAAAATATGCCTTGGCACTTACCAGGCAGGTAATCCCTTGAATGCCCTCTTGTGGCAAGAAGAGATAATTACATCTTTCTTCCTTTTTTTATTCTAATTTTATTCCCTATTGGTCCTGGGGATCTAACGCAAGGCCTCCCACACTCTCCCACTAAGCTACATCCTCAGCCCTTCATCTTCCTTTTGTCTTTTCCTCTGCCTGGAATCACTTTAGTCACCAGAACAGAAGTTCTAGAGTTAGTTGCTGTGTGAAGGGCTGTGGAATTGTCTGTGTTCTTAATACTGTTGGATAATTCTGATTTTCTCCTCAGGACTGTGAAAATCCAGGAATGTCTTGCCTAACAATACACTGTAACCTTAGTGCTCTCACTAAAGAAGAAAGTCGTACAATAGACGTTTACATGCTGCTGAACACAGAAATACTGAAGAAGGTAAGTTCTGAGGACCAGCACTCTTGGGCTTCATTGAAAAGCACCTGAATTGGTCTCCTGCTGACACTTTGGCTGTACCTTTTGAAAGTTTCTTGGCAAGTACCATTGGCAGTTCCCCCAGATGCAGGAGGGCGATCAATGGCTTGCTACTTAAAGTGTGGTCCAAGGACCCATAATGTCATCTAGGTTTGTTGGAAATGCAAAATTTTGGACTCCACCCAGAGCTGTTGAATTGGCATCTTGATTTGGTCAGTCTTCCTAGCGTTTTGTTTGCACATTTACATTCTCATTTTTCAGTTTGTGTCAGAATCATGTGAAAATTTTGTTAAAACTCAGATTCTTTGGGGTAGAGTCTGAGATTCTGCAGGTCTGACAAGCTCCTAGGTGATGCCACTTTTTCTAGTCTGGAGGCCATCTTTTTCATCAGAGGCTGGAAGACCTTTCTGTAAAGGCCAGTTGGAACTGTTTTAGATTTTACAGGCGATACTGCTCAGCTTAGCTATCACATTGTGTCAAAGAAGCCATAGACAACACTCATAGGAATAGGCATGACCTTATCCTAATAAAACTTTATTTACAAAAATTGGCAGAGGATCAGAGCTGACCTGTGAGTCCTAAGTTTGCTCACCCCTTGTTTACATGACCCCTTGTTTCACAAGAGCCCAGCTACTGAACCTCAGGTCGCTTCACTTTTACAAGTTCACCAAAAGTGATTCCAAAAGTTTATCAAAAAAGTACTTCAATCAGTAAGCTGGTGTCCTTTAAAGATTTGTGTAAATTTATTATTATTTAAAGAGCTGCTGAGTCTGAGAATCCATTTCCAATAAGACATTATAAAAAATAATTGCATCTGAAGATAAAATATGCATGTTTGCCCCAGAGATTCTATTTATTTCCTTTAGAAACGAAACATAATTAATATGCATAAACCTATCAGTGGGTGAATGAATATCCTTAGAATAGTCATTTCGTGGTCATTTTTAAATTAGACACTGCAGTGACCTGCTGACATGACAAGATGCAGACCCTGAGGGGTATTTTTTCCCACTTTCTCTAGCTCTTGCAGCCACCACACATCTGTGAAGAGCTGGGTCCAGCTCCAGCTTCCTGGATTTTCTCTGAGAAGAAACTGTTTTGGGGAAGTTGGGCTCACACACAGTTCTTTCTTACAGTCACTCTCCTTTATAAAGGACAGTGTTAGAGGACTTGGCACTAACTAGAACCGCACTGATGTCCTCTGGTTCCAGAAGGGAGACTGGAAGCACCGTGTCACAGGAATCCCATTATTCTTGGGTCCCCAGGACAGGTTGGAGGGCCCGTGATTCTTCACACTTACTGTTCTGCCCATTCTCTTGATAAATGGTGTTGCTGATGTCTCCTTTCTCCTCTACCCATATGGCTGCCACTTGCAGTTCAGTTATATGACTTAATTTAACTGTGTGTGGCTCTGCAGCCTGGTTCTTCTGCATCTCTCTCCCAGTAACCAGTGGTGACCCTTTACCAAGGAACATGTCCCACCAGCTGATGTCCCTATGAGTCAGCCACACCAGTGGAACACCAGACAAGAAAGCAGGAAACTGTGGGTGTCATATAGGGCCCTGGAGGCCCATTCTCCAAGTGCCTTTCCAGCAGAAGCTCCAGGTGCAGAAGAAAGCCTGAAACAAAACTGATCTGGAAACCAGATGGGCCCCCAGCTGCTCCTCAAATTGAAATACTAAGTGCTGGTCCCTGATGCCAGCTACTACCTCCTTCAGGGAGGAGCCAGATGGTCCCAGGGGCCATCATGGCTTCCCTGAGGATGTGGACCAGCGCCAGCTTCATGGTTGGCCTGGACCAAGATTTGTGTTTATTTTTCTTTTGACCTCAAGGTCTGGCCCAGACAAGGAAATTTGAGATTTTATTGTTTTGACCTTAACAAGTTTTCATTTGAAATACAAAATCTGATTTTTTTTTTAAATCATTAGAAGATACAGATTTCCTTGAAAGTATTCTTTTTCCAGTCCACAAGGCTTTCTTCCCTGATTCTACAACCACCAGAGATCTGTTCTGTGCCAGGCTCCTCGTATGCTTGGCAGTTATCACCATCATCATTACTAACATCCGAGATAATAATACAGTGATTCTTGATGACTGAAAATACAATATACCCTGCTACAGTACTTAAAACCACAAATGTATAAAACTTGAATTTCTAAAAGAAACCATGCGTGTGGTGAATGCATATGATCTCAGCTACTCAAGAGGCTAACATAGGAGGATCTCAAGTTTGATCCCTGCCTGGGCAACTTAGCAAGACCCTGTCTCAAAAAAATTAATTAATTTTTTAAAAAAGAAAGGGTTAGAATGTAGCTCAGTAGAGTACTGGCCTAGCATGTGCAAGGTGTGAGTTCCATACCTACTACCACAAAATAAAATCTCTTAACAGATTGTTTGCATGCAATATTATTTGTAGTTTGAAGTGAGTTTACTGGAGCAATTCATTTGAATGACAAACGTCCTAGAAGCATTTAAATATATTTTGTTGAGGGGGTATATAAAAGAAGGATTGGATTTGATCAGTACATACTATATACATGCATGGAAATATTACACTGAACCCCATTAATGTGTGCAATTGATACATGTTTAGAAGAAAAGTATTAAATGTGTCTATGATTATTTAGAAAAAGACAATAAGATTGGGGTATAACTCAGTAATATATAGCATTTACCAGGGTTCAGTTCCCAACATCACAAAAACAAAAAGAATAATAGTTTGTACTTAACTCCCAGGTACAGTGTATAAGCTAGGACCCCCATGTTCCATCCCAGGAAAATTTTTGTAATTTCTTTGGTGAAGATTAACAAAGGGCTCCTTTGGAATTTTTGTGAAGAGAAAAAGTCCTCCTCTTTCCTGTTTCTTTGTAGGTTTAGCCAAACATGAGTGAAAGTTGGCATCTGAGTGTGAGCCTCTGAGTTTATTTTCTGTTGCTATAACAAAATACCAATCACTGGGAAATTTATAAAGAACAGAAGGTTATTTGGCTTACAGTTCTGGAGGTTGGGATTCCAAGAGCATAATGCCAGCATCTACTGGCATGTGGTGGGAGCCACCTTGGTGCATCATAACCTAACGTGAAGGGCACTATCTGGTGAGACAGGCCAAGCACGCAAGCTCAGGTTTCTTTTTTTCTAGTAAAGCCATTAATACATGTTTAGAAGAAAAATATTAAATGTGTCTATGGTTGTTTAGAAAAAGACAATAAGATTGGGGTATAACTCAGTAGTACAGCACTTACCAGGGTTCAGTCCCCAACATCACAAAAACAAAAACATCCCACCCTCATCACCTCATCTAACCCTCATTACCTCCCAAAGACCTCACTTCCAAATATCATTAACATATGATTTGGGGAGATAAAGTGTCCACCATGTAAATTCTGGGGGACACATGCAAAGCACAGCAGCCTTCTTGAGTGACAAGCAAGCTGAATTAATGCAGCGGGTTCTTACTGGCAGGGCCCTAGCCACTCCCATGGGAATGCTGAACGTTCTGTTCTCTACCCTCTGTTTCCACAATGCAAACCAGGCGCCTCTTTACTCCACAGTCAGTGCACACCCTCTGTACGACTGGCTTGAGGTTCTGGCCCTTCCCGGGGCCATGGTTTGCCAATCCCTGTCTTTTTCCACATTGCATTTCCATCCCTGCTTTGGAGCAGTTTTCTTATTATCTGGATCAGTGTCTTTGAATCAGTGCCCACAGAAAGGCTTCTGCCTGCTTCTGCCCGCGAGCAGTTCTTCATAAACGGTGCCCCTGCCCCCAGTTCCTTTTGTCTTTAGGTTTCATTTATAGGCTAGATGTTGTCCTCTCCTTCATCTCTTCATTGGATACTCTCTTTAATGTTCAATAGCTTTGACCCAAAATAGCATCTTTTAAGAGCAAACAAAGAGTTAAGAGTAGCTTGTGAGAAGGGGTTGAGGGTTGTGGTCAGGGCAGGGAGATGCTTATAAAATGGAAATCAGATGCCTTCTACAGAATGCCAGGCCTAGATTTGTTGTACACAGTTAAATAGCTTTATTTACCCTCAACTCTTTGTGAGTACATCAATATCAATATTTAAATATCTGGCTCTTCCCACTAGGAAACCACAGCCCATAAGCTTGTACGTGTTGATTACTGGCAAATGCTATATTTGTTCTGTATCCACCATGATCCAAAAGGATCCTCAAGGGAGACATTGGAAGTCATGTTTATGTGGGTCCCTTGGAGGGAGAAGTTTCTCATTCAGTGATAAAATTTTTGTCTGGTTTATGTGCAATCTTAGAATATCAGTTCTGCCTAATGCCTCTCAAGGAAAAGTCATTGTCTTTGAAAAATCTTACAGTGAACTCTGTTGTTGTTTCTTCCCTAGGACAGTTCGTCTGTCATCCAGTTCATGGCTCGAGCTAAGGTGAAGGTGGACCCTGCCCTGCATGTGGTGGAAATAGCCAATGGGAACCCAGAAGAAATGATGGTGAGTCAGCCGCCCTGCCACAGCCCTCCTCAGAAACCACGTGAAGCCGAGTGATTGGAGATGTGGAGCTGGAATTTGAGGGTAGATAGCTCTGAGCCAAGGAGGCTTTGTGGTAGACCCCAGACCATACTGCCCTGGCTTCCTCTACAGTTGTTCTTGTGGTGCTAGCATTATTTAAGATGCCACAGTGTGTGAACATTTCCTGCTGTGAGTGGTCAAAGGAAAAATAGTCTGGAAGGACCCTTGATGGGATTTGTTTTTCCATTCTGAAGCCAGGACTATTTTTATCTTTCTTAGACCTTTCTCTGAAACCTCATCTACCTTCCCAGTCACATTCTTCTATGGATAAACACTGGGTGTCCCAAAAACAAGTTGTTTGATTAACTTGAAGAGGTCACATCCAGATTGTCAAGACCTAGAACCTTGTGTCTCCCTCCCACCCTGCCCACTTACCCTCCATGAAATGCAGTTGGCAGGCAGAGCTCAGGGACGTGGGAGGGTGAGGCAAACTTCAAGGCTTACCTCTGGGAGTGAGGGAGAGGCTGGAGGTGAAGTGTGGCTTGCAGTTCTGCCTTTATTCTTGCCATCTGTTGTTTGACCACCACACCCAGGTTCTAAAGGAGTAGAACTGCTCAGAACTGATTTGCCAGTAAGCTGTGCAATGATGCTTCTTTTCAGCACCTGATCCAGAGACTGTACCTTCTCAAGGGAGACCTACCGTCTCAGGGAAGAGTCAGTGTTCATATGGCAAATTAACAAAGTGATAAATTCATAAAGATTATGTATTTAACACAAAAATAGTATGTTAATTTATTTTCTGAGAATGGAGATGCTACATGTTGAAATATAAGGATGCAGATTTGACTAAATCCCATTCTTTCAAGACCCTGGCTGGGAAGGGGTCCTACAGAAAACAAATCTTTGCGATTTCAGTCAAATTTCAGTCCTGTTCTGGGGCTTGGTGACCAAGAAAGGAGAGCACTGTGAGTCTTGAATGATCAAGAATACCTGAAGGGGTGAGGGCTGGCAATGCGTGTGAAGGGCCAGGCATCCCACTCTCCATGCGGGGGTGGTGTGTGGACCATTTTACTCATTGCTGAACAAAGTACCTGATAACTGCAACTTAAAGGAGAAGAGCTTTATTTGGCCACAGCTTTAGAGGTTTCAGGCCACGCTCCTCTGGCCCCATGAAACATCATGGCCGAAGGCAGAGCAGAATGAAGCTGCTTAGTTCGTGGCAGCTGGGAAGCAGAGCACCAGGGAGGCATGCGTCTAGTGACTGACCCCCAGCTAGGCCCCACATTCCCACAGTACTCAACTCTGGATGAATCCACTGAGGAGTACGGCGTCCCCAAGACCCAGTCACTTTTCTGGGAGTCTTTTAATCCGTGTCAGAGGTAGACGTGGACTCCTCTGTTCACCTGAGTTACCATCCAGCCAAGCACTAGTCTGAATAATAGAAATGATAAGAAAAATGCTCAAGTCTTTCACTACTTAGGCTTAATTTTTTCTGGCAGGTCAAATATTTTCAGTTGGCTTTTGTGCTTTTGCCCCTTCCTTCTGGCCATTTAAGTATCACTTCAGACCTTCATCCGGGAAGTGAGAGGAGGCAGTGGTTCCCTGTTCACTGTCATAGCTCTGATTAAAGTTATATAGAATGAAGTATGTATCTAACCTCAAAGGTTTAGAATTCATACTGTGAATAGTTAGAGCCAATGGAAATAATTAACAGGTTTCCTAAAGATTTCCTACAGGTGAAATCTCCATGTAGATGGGGAAAAAAGCACTGGGCACACTGCCTTTTTTTAGAAGAGTAGGCTGTGGAGCCCAAGAAGACATTGCTTAACATCCTGTTGTGCGATTCTGAGTCATCTGTCTTCCCATCGAATACTCTTTCCATCAATTTCTGTTTCATTTTGAGCAGGGGGATGATAGTTTTATTATTAAGAGTTCCGAGGAATAAGCTAATTTTTTGCCACATTCCCAAGGAAACATTAACATGTACAAGAATTCCATAATACCCTCCTTTCCATGATTACTCTTTTAGTCTGTAAGCTAAGATGAAGTTCTGCAGTGTGTTCTCAACTTTCCTGGCAGGGAAAGAAAATCTTTTATAAGTAGGAAGGTTTTCATGTTTAGAACAAGCACATTTTTCCCTGCATGATTCTTCTGAATGCCTGGCTTTCTGTCTGCCGTCCAGCTGAAGGGGAATTTTCAGAGAGGCTAGCCACCAAATTTAAATCTGGCCCAATTTCACAAGACTTCGGATTCATCACTGAGTTGTTATGGCCTTGGAATGAACAGGAAGTGTACTTGTGTCTGGTATCCAGCAGGGTGTGGGTGGAAAAAGGAAAACAATCAGATTTTTTTTACCACAAAGAGTACACGGTGATAAATTTGATAAGGAAATCAAAGAATTTTCCTATGGTTCTTTGTGTCTTTTATACCATGGTACAAGAGTGTTGCACAAAGCATTTGGGTGAATAACTAGAAATATGTATTCAATTCTTAAGGCATTTGCCTTGTGTGTGATAAATATATATAAATATTATATATATGTATGTATATATCTGTATGTATATGTATATACCTTGGTTTATAAACTTAATTCCTCTCATGACTCTGGTTACAAGCTGAATTGGATGAGAACTGAATCAAATTTCCCCATAAGGTCAACAATGACCCTAACCATTGAATACGGTTTGATTCTCATCCACTTTGGTGTACAGCCAGAACTGTAGAAAGAATTAAGTTTGTGAACCGAGGTACCACTGCATATATGCAAAATCTCCAGGCTGCTTCCCAGATAGCGTGGTAGAACATATTCAAGACCAAGCAAAACAAACCTATCTGGCTTCATCCAACCCAAACCTGAGAATTGCAGGTGTTAACTATGGTTTTTGAGTGCTGGTTTTTGAGGTGCCCGTGACACATTTAATTTCATATTCATCCTAATCCTGCCTACTTTTCAAGGAATGGGTTAGGAGTAAAAGGGAAAAAGACAGAAAAAACTGGTTAGGATCCTGAAATATTTAAGAAATACTTATTATATAATCTTTATATAACGAGTAAGGGAAATATAGCTGGTTAAATATAGCTGGTTATGCTGGTAAGCTGGACCTCATGGAGAGGAGGAGTTCTTCCTAGAGAAACACAGGAGACCCCTTCCGCATGGTTTCACATCCCATAATTTCAGTTACCCATAGTTAATTACAGTCTGAATGTATCAAATAAATAAATTCCAGAATTAAACAATTCATAAGTTTTAAACATAGTTTATTATAGTGTATTATTATGATTGTTCTATTTTGTCATTAGTTATTGTTGTTCATCTGTGCCTAATTTAAAAAGTAAACTTTATCATAAGTATATATATATAAATACATAGTATTTATAGAGTTTGGTACTATCCACAGTTTCAGACATCTACTGGGGATCTGGGAATGTACCCCCTGAGGGTAAGGGGGGACAGATGTAGTACAGAAGGAAAATATTCTAATATGAATATTAATGGCTCTATTCATGCAGCCATTAAAGGCATCAAAAGATTTGGCAAGCAGGACTTCCCCTAACCCTGATCCCTGCCTCCTGCATTGGCTACTGAGGCCCACAGGTCAGGCAAAAGATTCAGTGTTCCATATTTTTAAGGAGAGTGACTGAGACTTGAGGGCAGCAACTCCACCAAAGCAAGCAGATGCTATAGAATTGCTACTGAACTAACAAGTACTAGGAGACCCTGCCCAGACTCCCTATGTGTCTGCAGGAAAAGCTGGAGTGAATTTCTCCTATTTTCTTGCAGTGAATTCCTCCTAGTTTCAAGCGTCAGAATATATAGTCAACTTGTGAAACCCCAGATGAATAAGCAAATGTTGGTGGTGGGGCGTGTGACCAAAGTGAGATCTTACATGCGAGAGGAGAAGCCTGCTGTCTTGCTCCAGCAGAATCAGAATGGGTTGGAAGGATATCTGGGAGTTCTCAGACTTGCCAGAGGAAGTGAGGGTATTAAAAAGGGATATAAAAGAAGTTAAGAAACTTGAGGGGCCAGGACTGCACACTGGGAGCAGTCACAGGAAGAATCTGGTGTCCTGGACGCTATGTCCGGCTATCCCTGGCTTCTCTTGATCCTGCTCTGGAGACAGCCAGGAGCTTCTCACTGGCTGAGGTTAGGCCTCTGTCTCAGGGCCCAGGTCTCTGTCGTTATTGGCTATGAGGGGTTCCCTGCTTTTTCCTGAGAGGAGGAATACCTAGCACTGGGAGGAGATCCAATACCAGGCTGCTGAAAAGGGACGTCAGTCTGCTCTAGTGTGCTCTGTAGGAGTGAAGCTCAGTACCAGGCCAGCCAAGCTTGGGCTCTTCTTGGAGCCCTCATCTGAGCAAGAACATTTGTTCAGTCATCCAGACGATTTTTTGGTGACAGCTTCCTGGGCTAACTACAATCTCAATGAGAGAATATGAAAATCTCTGTCCAAAGATGGGTGGGAGTGTGTGTCCTTCTTGCTTTGTTTTCTTTTAAGAATAATGTGTTTGAATGAGTAATGCTTCTTGGCTCGTTTGATGGAGCAGATGTTTGGGATCTTCTGCCATGGCAACCATATATCCAGAGAGGCATTTGCTTCACTCATGTGTCGCACTGCCATCAGTGGCCCTCGTCCTACATGTGTGGAGGAAAGCTATATATAATTTAAGATGTTTACAGAGCATCCATTTTTCTCCCTGGCTGGGAACCACTAAGTCCTTCCCTCAAGAGAATGAAGAGGTCTCTGATACTTGGGTAGAGGAAATTCCAGCTCACAGGGGCTGAACTATGGACAGTATGAAATTCTGGACTCCTAGCTTTGGTGCTCCTTCTCCTCTACCTGGCAGCCACTCAGCCACATGGGAAGGCACGGAGCCATCCTGGATGAATGAGGCTAGACAGAGGCAAACTGTCCCGTGTGGAAAGAACTGACTTGTTTTAAAGCTTCCCAGTGCCTATGGAGCCCAGGAAGCTCCTTCAAACC